ATCTCCATCTTCGTGCTGCACTCAGCGTCTCTTCCGCGGGACATGCTCTTTGAGCACTTTCCCAGGGCGAGCGTGGGAAAGGTGGAGCCTCAATCGATTGGAAGTGACTAGGGAGCATGTACCACAAAAAAGACGCAGAGTCCAGCACGAAGATGGAGATGCTGGTGCAAACGACACTCAGTTTGATAAGCCGTGTAAGTTTTCATACAGAGCAAAAAGAGTTTCACAATTTTTTCTCTAGGCTCTTTTATAACCTCCAAAAGATTCTCATTGATGCCTTTCTGCGATCGCAAAGCAAGCCTCTAAGCGAACCAATGTGCGAATTTTTACATTTTCGCTGTTCGATCGGTGCTTCGCCTTTTATCGGCGCCATCTCTTCCTTTACCGGGCTGGCTGCCCGGGCGGTTCGCGCGCGGCTGCACAGAGTGGCGCATTCTCTCTTGTCAGTGCGACGTTTCTTCGCTTGCTTTTCATCGCATCGAACGTGCTAGAAAGGAGTTTCTGCGCCCATTGTTTACTACGAAAGGGACAGATGAAGTGCCAACGAATGCACTGGGCTTTGTAGTGTCGTTTGACTCAACTTTGTAACCACGTAGTATCAGATGATACCCCACAAATTCTGAGCATATTTGTTTTCTGAATCACTGCTATTTCGCTTAGATAGAGGCAAAGTGAACATATTGTTCTGTTTGACTTTAACTTCCTTCCAGCAAGACAACACACGTACCTAAATCTACACATGGCTGCGTAAAGCGCGCCCCATGCCCCAATGCCTTCGCTGTTGGGGCATGCTAGACAATGTGGACTTACTCTGCGCTTTCGATAAACGTTGTGGATGCTGTCAGTAGTCTCTTCAAGTTGTCTTTTACACATCAAAGTCTCAGAACTAAGATGAGATAAACCTCCGTATGAATACTTTGTCAGTATATCTGGAAGCTTACAACAGCAAGAAGTCTTCTAAGTTTCCCTCTGCGGCGCTATTCCACTCAATACAACCCAAAAATTGAAAACCACGATTTCGCTGGAAACTCGCCTAGAGGGCTATTTGGGCTGCTGATCACGAAAATCGTATTAATTTTGTATGGAAGGACCATTTTTGTGGGTTACGGTAAGTATATGGTGTGCGATCAAAATCACGGATTTGGTCGAAATTTGTTCTAGAGGGGGTACCCGACCCTTTCACGAATATCACATTTATTGGTAAGGTTTCGATGTAGCCCTGTGTACTCAAGGTGGCCTTAGCGAGGGTCGTTAAGACAAGGCTAGGCTGTTAGCAGGTGACTGGGTATAAGTTAGCCACATGCTTCCAGAAGTTATAAAGCGAGTCCTCATGCTTTGTAAGAGGCGAAACTTTGGGCAAGGCCGAAAATTTTGACAACGCCAAGTTGCTAATTTCCACTTCAATGTCCTTCTTCGCATTATGTAATAGACCAGTTGCTGGCCCACCATCATACCTTCGATAGTCTAGAGACAGGGCGCCAAAAGTGAAGGTTGTTTGAACATCTGACGTCACAAATGGTGAAGGTTGTTCAAAGAAGATCAGAGAAGAGAATATGACGTAAAACAGACATAAAAAGCAAAAGAAACGGCTGTAAACCGGATAAAAACGCTGCAATAAGATTTGAAATCTTTCATTTGGCGGCTTTACAGAGTGCAAGTTTTCGCTCCAGGACCAGCAATTCGCAACACGGGGTTCTGATTTTTGATGCGTCCTTTAAATTTTTACCCCCGCGCCGTCCCTTTTGTACCCTGCGACGTTGTCTGGATTCTTCCGCTCATCATTCTGAGCAAGTATCGTCCAAGCTGGAGAAAATTCGTTGCGAAACCACTGAAAAAGAATAAGGTAAAGAAAAACGCATTTTTTTGTAATTTTCACAAAAAAACCGGCATAAGCAGAGAAATAAGCTCGGCGACGTTGTCTACATTATAGACAGAAACAAGACCTATCGACTACACAAAAAAACTGCATGAAAAGAGTCAAACTAGGAGAAAAACGAGAGATTTTCAAAAACAAGGTTTTTGCCGGATTTCTTGTTTAAATCATAAAAAGGAGTCCTGCGACGTTGTCAGCGTAAAAATAGAGATCAAGAGCTTCAAAATGATATATAGCTTGCTAAAATTGGGTTCGAAACAGCGAAGAAAAGGGTACCAGAGCCAAATGCCCCGCGCCCCGCGCTTGGGGTAGCGAGGTAGCGCGCAGCGCGCGGAGACGCAGACGAGCAGCGGAGAGAGACCAGAGCCGGCGGGGCATTTGGCTCTGGTCATTGATCTCCGCGGGGTCATAACGAAACCCTATAATATTATATATCGTTGTGATCCTCACGACACGGCCAGGAGCACTGACAACGTCGCGGGTCTTGAATCTCACTCCATAACGAGATAGACCAGCATTTATGTGGCGACTCTCTGCGCAAGATTTCAACGCAGTTTCTCGTTTTTGTTGAACTCCAGCGGCTTTCATGAACCTCCAACGCTCAATCGCAGTCTATAGAAAGGTTAACTGATAAGTTTTATCCTAATTTCTAACTGAATTTTTGAAAAACCCTCTTTTCAGCAAAAAAGGCCATGAAAACGCTATCTTTCGGTTTTTTGAGCTTTTCTTTGGATGTCACTACTATATGCCTCATTCACATTCATCCTTACATAGTTAGTCATTAGTTATTTCATAATATCCGGGGCTTCGCCCCGGATGACTTGTACTCCTCTCCAGGTGAAGGTTGTGTCCTCTCATGACACTCAAAGTGAAGGTTACCAGAGTACGTGGCTCTATGTATCGAAGGTATGCCCACCATATGACGCTATGGTGAGGAATGGATGTGATTCGTGATCAACGTTTCAGATAACCCCTTTTAGACCAAATTTTAGCCAAATGTGAGGTTTTGGACCGCACGCCGTATACCTATCGTAGCTCCACAATATGGCACTACCTATCGTAGCTCCACAATATGGCGCTATGTTGAGGAATGGATGTGATATCCCCGATCAGCGGGTGAACAACCCCTCTAGAAAAAATTTTGGGCAAATTTTTGACACCCTACCTTAAAACTGCCGTAACTCCACAGAAATGGTACTTCCATGCAATTAATACGATTTCCGTGATCAGCATGTCAAGTAACCCGTGTGTGCAAAGTTTTAGCAGAATCCAAGATTGTTATTTTTTGAGTAGCGTATTCTGAAATGGTAGCTTCCTTTTTCATAGCCGCCATGGTCACATCGCTTTCACTGTATGAAAAGAACCGTCAGTGACACTGCAACAAGTGTATGATAGCAATCAAGGAATCTTTCGCTATACGGCAAGAACTTATGCAAGGAGTCACTTACACGGTAGAACTTTGTGCAAAGAATAAACTGTGCGCGCCCGCTAATTCTGCATCGGGTTATGCGGCGCGCTTCGCGCGGCCATGTGTAGATTTAGGTATGCAAGACAACTGTTACCAGTTCGTTGTATGCCGATCACCTTGACTCAGACTTGATTTAGAGGAGGGGCGGGGGGGTACTACCTGACATGTTGCGCGAATCTCACATGTTCTCTGCACAAAAGCGCTTCCAGTGGTTACGGTAGGCATACTGTAGGCGATCTAAATTATAACTTGGCTGGGATTAGGACTACGTTATCGATATGCTAAACACGAAATTCGGCGCTATTCCGAAAGCATAGCTCTTACCCAGAATTCAAACACTTTGACAATCAGCCAGGAAGCCTAGTATAACACGCAGGAACCATTAATGACGTGTCCTGGCAAGGATTTTTTTTAAAATAGGATTGAGCTTTCAAAACAGAGAATTTTTAGCTCGGGCATGGAAACTTCAAGGTAATAAAAAATGCCGCCCCTTCGGTTGAGTCAGGGGTAAAGAAGATTGGGCATTGCTGCGACCACTGCAGCTTATATAGGTGTTTCGAAAAAGGAACTGTAGGCAGTTTGGCTGCAGAGAGGGAAGAGTGGGCCCCATGTGAACAAACATGTAACGTACAAGAGCCATGATCGGCTGCACTATCTCGCGAAGTGCTGCGGAACGACGTCTGCAGCTCATGCCAGCACTCCTTGTTCGATTTTATGGTGTCGTGTATCTGCCCGAGCCCATCCATCTAGTTTGCAACTGCCCACTTCACACCACAGAGTTTCAATGGATACAGTAAGGCAGGCCGCGCACGCCAAAGCAGCCGCCGTGCGCAGCGTACTTCACATGGGCCAGCACAAGACGTCTTCCTTGTGGACACATCCGGTAACGGGAAGCACTACGATTGGCGTATTTCGAATAGAGCGCGATCTATCAGTTCCGCCAGGGCAACGCCAGTTTCTCAGAATTGCCTGAAAAACTTGGCCCAGCAGGCGAAAGGGCATTCAACCACATGTCGAATATAACACATAGTTCATACGGTAGCGGCATTTTCTGTGAGTTACGGCATACGGTATGCGTAACATTAAAACCACGAATTTGCTCTAAACTTCGTTTAGGGGATTATAGCCTGCTTAACACGATCATAACTTCTCAAAATGGCAACATCTTGGGTTACGATAGGTGAACGGCTGAATGGGCGAAGTTCTAAACATTGCTCAGAACTTTGCCTAGAAGGGTTTTCAAGCATGCTGACTACAAATACCCTTTTTGTTCGCTACAATAACGCCTTATTGTAGAGTCACGGTAATTTGCAGCACATGACATTTTTTTGCGTTCCCAACCAAATTTAGGATTTTGTCCTCCGACCGTAAACCTACCGCCTCTACGAAAAAGACCCCAAAATGCAAAAAGAGTACGTGTTCGTGGTCAACATGTTGAGTAATCCCCCCCCCCCTCCTAAACCAAGTTCCGAAATTCGTGATTCTGACCGCCTACCGTGTACCCACCGCAACCTCGAAGAAAATTACCGTTCAAAATTAGTATGATATTTAGAATCAGCGGATCGAATACCCCCCCCCCCCCCCTCCCTAAGACTGAGTTTGAGCAAAATCCACAAACTTGAAATATTGGGGCCCAGCTACGCCTTCTTCAAAACTAACTTACTCGGTCTTCAGATGCCTCAGCCTCCTGTTGATCCCGTTCGTTCATTTGGCTTGTTCCGGGCTGCTCCATCTCACTATTTGAGTCCTAAAAAATGTTGTGACAGCTCATCAACATAGTGATGAGAGCAATACCTTCTGATTCATCTTCCCCTGGCGGTATTTCTCAGCCTCCTTTTGTTTTTCGAGCAGCCACGTTTGCTCCTAAAGTACTGATACAGCTGACGGAAGTTTTGAGATGTGAAATATAATATAATGACTCACTTGCTCGAAGAACTCCAGAATCTTCTGTTTAAATTCTGTCTCTCCATTATTTCTTGAAAAGAGATTTCAAAGCAAAGGAAGTATGCGATTGACAACCCACCTAGTCATCTCGAGCATTTTACTTACCACGCCTTTGAACCGCATTTCGATCTGCTGAAGCAGGCTGAGCATCCCCTCTTTTTCCGCTGGGGCTGCCGTCAACTCATCCACTTTATTCGAACTGAAAAAAAAGATTGATCATTGGTAATGCTTTCAACTGCCGACAACCTCTGATTGGCACTCGACGAACATGGAGCAGAGTCTAAGCGCACTTCAGTCAACCTCCTCTCCTTAGAAGTGACCTGACATAGGCTCATATAGTTTTGCTGTGGTAAAAAGAGTAAGTTCTACTGTTCAAATGTGGCTGCAGTCTAGATGACCGCAAGAATACTAACCTTTTCCTTGAACTCCTGTTTCCTCTGTCCAACAGGATCAACGTTAACGAAAATCTTGTTTATAACCTTTTTTGCACGCTCTGCAAATCTGAAAAATATATGGTCGAAGTTTAGGACGACAACAACCGGTTTAGGAGCAGTGTCCAGGCACCTGTATATTCGTTGAATCGCATTTTTTTCTCGAATCGATTATTCGAATTTTTTTTCATTTCGAAATTCGATATTCGATTATTCGACAATTTTATATTTCGAATATATCGATGTTCGGTTATTCGAAATTTTTGATCTTCGAGTAAAAAAAATTCGAATCTTTCAGGCATAAAATGTAGCTTGCAGTGGTTTTTGAAACTTACCTATATGGGTTATAAAAATGTCCAAACGACTTGTTTACTTTTGTAAATAATTAAAATAATTTTTAAAATTTTCAAAAATTTAGACTAGCCTTATAAAAAATTATTTTCGGGGGCGTGGCTGACGCCACGCCCGCTTTTTCCAGATTTCAGGGGTTGAGGACCCGCAAAAATTTTGACAAGCACCCCAAAAAAATTTTCAGAGCGCGTGGCTAACGCCGCACACCTTCATTTGAAAATTTTTTGTCGCCCCCCCCCCCCCCGGTCCAAAATCCTGGGACCACCACTGGTAGCTTGCTATTTCCAATAAGCTAACATGAGACTTCAGACGGATCTCTGCAGCTCAATGTTGTAGAAAGTTGCAATATGTTGTTTTTAGTCCATCTCCATAATATTTTAGTTTTTCAGCTTGTTGGTAGTACGAAACTGGACATTTTTAAAAAGCCGCTTCGTACAAAATTGTCGGAACCCAGGACTATCGGCCTTGTCAGAAGGAGGAAGGAAATCGCATATTCCTTACAGAGATTCAAAGGTGACCAGATTGCTCCAAGGTAATTAGATTACAGTGGTCTAGCAACTTGTTTGGTGACACTACTACGTCAGATTCACTCGGTGGTAATTCTCACACAATCGTGATCGCCTGTGTCTCACCCTCCCAGTCGAATGAAGAGGAGACAATAAATACTCTCAAGTTAGTTCCCGTTATTGCAAAATTAGAGTTTAATAAGCAAATAAACTTTCTCAAGCGTTTTGACTGGAGTTACTCTTGAAAAAGTGCTCAACCCTGTCTATCAAATAAGCATGATTTGCAGGTAAAAAAATAGCGTTCGGCTATTTGGGCCAAAATTTTTTCATCACTTTCTTGGGGTAATATGACATGCTGACCATGAATATCACACTTTTCCGCACGGAAAGGCCTCTCTGTGCGGTTGCGGCAGGTATGCACTACGGTCCCAAAATTTCAGTTCGGGAGGGGGGGGGGGGGGAGGCCGACGAAAATTCCTTTGCGAATGAAAGTAACTCTCCCCCCTCCCCCCCCCCCCCCGCTCCGCCACTGTTATACATTAGGGGTCAAAACCATAGATTTGACCGAAATTGCTCTATAGGGGCATTATCGGACACCAGTGCGTCACCTCTGCTTCGCAGAGGCTCGCACTGGCCCTACTTTATCTATGCCTTACTCATTCCCGCATAATAATTAGATTGAAACTCACCGCGCTCTGTAGGCTATTACGAATGATTCGTAAACAGCTAATCACTCCTAGAGGTTTTTCGAGTGAAATCGGTATTTTCGCGTGGATGAAATCTTTATCAAAAGAAAAAAATGCAAATTTGAATAAGTTTTTGAAATTTTCATGGTTTCATAGTCGCCATAAGGACAATAAACATGGTGGGCTACATCTCTGTGCAAAAATCTTTTCAAATGATCAGGTAAAATCTCGAAAAATTGACCGTTTACACATCCAATGCTTTTTGGCGCCGTTTTCGTAAAGTAGTAGACTTTTCATCACTTTTTTAGACTAAAGTCCATGGCTTGCACATTAACTTGTCAAATATATCCATAACTCTGCAAAAAGTAGTACTACGGACCCAAATTTGCTGGACAGAAGCCAAGTGGATCCGTTTGACGCGCAATTTTCAACGGATCCACTCAACGGATCCGCTCATGCTTTTGTATAGTGAGCTTTCATGCTGGTAGCGTGCACGCAAAATTTGGGCTCAGGACGTTGGCTGGAACACGCGCTACGAATTTCGTAACGGACAGACACACACACAAAAAGACGTAAACAACCCTTAGCCCGTTATTATAAGTCATGATTCTACCACGAAATCACTCTCTGTGTGATGAGCACACGGTAAAAAGATTAAAATTCCAGATTTGCTCAAACTTTGCGAGAGGGTTGGGCATGCTGTTTATCGGTGTTATAAAAATGTGCAAACGATTTGCTTATTCTAAATAATTGAAATAATTTTTAAAATTTTTCAAAAATCCAACAATTTCGCTGTTTTAAGGCGTGCCTGTTTGTAGTCAGATCATCAGCATTGATCTACGCACGCAAAGCTCTAAGTAGATAACACTTTAGCAGTAAAATTTTCCCAACGTCGAGCAAGAAGTGTTCACAACGCCGCATACAACACTCCCCCCTTTAAGTTCCGACTCGTACCCTCCCCCTCCCCCAACATTTTCGTTTGCCTACTGTAAGCGTGAGATAAAGGCTCTACTAAGCATAATAACTAGTAATAAAATTTACAACAAAAATTATTTGAGGTTTTTGGCTACGCACTCATCACTATGAGACCCAATAAAACGATAGCTTGGTTGCGTTTAGAAAATTTCAGCTTAGCTACTTACACAATGGAGGATAGAATTTAGCAGTAAATCATGAAAAGCATGAACTTGAAAGAAGAGTACCCTATTGAGTCGAAAGTGCACGATGATCAGATAATGCCAAACAACAATAGATTTCTTTTCGTTCCTTACGAAAATTTCAGTCAATAATGTGACCGAAAGATCAAAAACTTAGTTCAGTCACAGGCCAGTCGGACAGGTGAGCAAGATATTGCGAAAAAAGGCTTAAAACAGAACTGTAGGTATGCATACTTCTGTCACTTTCAATATAATGCATTCAAATAGTGCCTTTGAAAGCATAAGCTTAGATTCTATTTGCAAACTTTGCAAAAAAAGCTGAAAAACTAAAATATTATGGAGATGGACTGAAAACAACATATTGCAACTTTCTACAACATTGAGCTGCAGAGATTCGTCTGAAGTCTCATGTTAGCTTATTGGAAATAGCAAGCTACCAGTGGTGGTCCCAGGATTTTGGACCGGGGGGGGGGGGCGACAAAAAATTTTCAAATGAAGGTGCGCGGCGTTAGCCACGCACTCTGAAAAATTTTTTGGGGTGCTTGTCAAAATTTTTGCGGGTCCTCAACCCCTGAAATCTGGAAAAAGCGGGCGTGGCGTCAGCCACGCCCCCGAGAATAATTTTTTATAAGGCTAGTCTAAATTTTTGAAAATTTTAAAAATTATTTTAATTATTTACAAAAGTAAACAAGTCGTTTGGACATTTTTATAACCCATATAGGTAAGTTTCAAAAACCACTGCAAGCTACATAGTATGCCTGAAAGATTCGAATTTTTTTTGAATAATCGAATAATCGAATATACTCGAAGATCAAAAATTTCGAATAACCGAACATCGATATATTCGAAATATAAAATTGTCGAATAATCGAATATCGAATTTCGAAATGAAAAAAAATTCGAATAATCGATTCGAGAAAAAAATGCGATTCAACGAATATACAGGTGCCTGGACACTGCTCCTAAACCGGTTGTTGTCGTCCTAAACTTCGACCATATATTTTTCAGATTTGCAGAGCGTGCAAAAAAGGTTATAAACAAGATTTTCGTTAACGTTGATCCTGTTGGACAGAGGAAACAGGAGTTCAAGGAAAAGGTTAGTATTCTTGCGGTCATCTAGACTGCAGCCACATTTGAACAGTAGAACTTACTCTTTTTACCACAGCAAAACTATATGAGCCTATGTCAGGTCACTTCTAAGGAGAGGAGGTTGACTGAAGTGCGCTTAGACTCTGCTCCATGTTCGTCGAGTGCCAATCAGAGGTTGTCGGCAGTTGAAAGCATTACCAATGATCAATCTTTTTTTTTCAGTTCGAATAAAGTGGATGAGTTGACGGCAGCCCCAGCGGAAAAAGAGGGGATGCTCAGCCTGCTTCAGCAGATCGAAATGCGGTTCAAAGGCGTGGTAAGTAAAACGCTCGAGATGACTAGGTGAGTTGTCAATCGCATACTTCCCACTCGTGCATCCATGTCAAGCTCACCACTCAATGCATGCTTTGATATGATCATTTCTACTCATAGAATGAAATTGTTTGACTTTCGAGTGCTGTGTGCGACGGCTTAAATTATCTCATCATCTCTCTTTTTACATTCCTACGACCAAATAGCGAAAAATGCATAGAGGCAAATTAACAAATCAGATGACAAATCAGCTAATGCGCTTTTAGTGTAATCTAAAACTGAAACAAAACGAATCTCGTCATATCAGTTGTTTCTTTTCAATAGAAAAAAAGGAAATAAAACTTCTAGCATGTTATTGTTAACAGATTAATGCATTGACCTATCAAATAACTTTACAAGACAAGGTTTCCATGTCCCTTTTTTAAACAGCGCCATTCTTCGAATAAAAATCTAGATTAGACGATCAATAATCAGAGTTCAAATCACAGTTCTTCTGCTTACAAGAAGGTCCGTTTGAACAAAGTGGCCTTTTCACATGTTTGATTCAACTGTAAAGAGCATTAAACGCTGATTCCAAAACTGTCTTCGTTCTGCCGAGCGCCTCTGGACGTCTTATGAACGTTTTTACAAAACTTAAAGCATAATTGGAACAAAATTTGTCAGGATGGCTCAAATGATCCAGTGTTAATTACGAGCACTCTATTCAAACGGTATCTTTTGTCCCAAACACTCATACTTAACATTGCTCCATTTGAGCGCTGAAAAGACCGTAAAATTTGACTTTACTAGATTATGACCTAGAACATGTAGAAAATGGGTTTACTTTCAAGATAACCTAATAAATTCTGACTTGCATATGTTCTATCAAAAGAATTTAGACATTCTTGAGAACAACTTGAGTGTATTGTAAAATCTATGGGGAAGCTATGGCATAAATCACTAGCAAGACATGTTTAGACTTAAATATGTCTTACAGTGTTTTTTGAATGAAAAAGAGGGAAAGAAAGAAAGAAAAAGAGACTTTATTGATTGACTCCCAGATAAAACACAGTGCTTGATAACTGATTAACTTTGGGCATGGGTTATTTGGCCTTCGTCTCTAACAAGGGAGGTCCTTTTGATTGAACTGGCCTTTCCAAACGAGTCTTATATCACCTTAACAAGCATACAACGATGATTCCAAATCTTCTTCAAAGTGGTATAAGACTCGTTTGGAAGGGCCAGTTCAATCAAAAAAACCACCCTTGTTAGTAGACGAAGGCCAAATAACCCATGCCCAAAGTTAATCAGTTATCAAGCACTGTGTTTTATCTGGGAGTCAATCAATAAAGCCTCTTTTTCTTTCTTTCTTTCCCTCCTTTTCATTCAAAAAACACTGTAAGACATATTTAAGTCTAAATATGTCTTACTAGTGATTTATGCCATAGCTTCCCCATAAATTTTTTTACAATACACTCAAGTTGTTCTCAAAAATGTCTAAATTCTTTTGATAGAACATATGCAAGTCAGAATTTATTAGGTTATCTTGAAAGTAAACCCATTTTCTGCATATATATAAAATTGTTTTTTCCTAGCAGACTCGGGGTACTTCCGAGAGAGTAAAGCAAGCACTAACACTGACCAGCAAAGATCCGCCCAAGTCGTAATCTATGAAAATAAAATAAAATAAAATAAAGGTATATCCAATTTCCGTTTCGATGTAAAGTTTGGAGCCAAAACCTAAATTTTCTAACTGCCCGAAAAATCGTATCTTCTTCCAGGAAGTTCCTACGGAGCTCCAACTTGGTCATCATACAGTATACCGTATTAGTATTTATGAATAAGGGTGTCCCAAAAAATGTGCCTGCTGTTTGATTGTAAATAACTCAATTGTAATGAAGTATTTCGAGAAGCTTTAGGTACCCTTTTGTAGAGCAAGGTTAAACATAGATATACCAGTATGGAGTGAATCATCTATCGCTTTCCATTACTGCAGGATTACGGTACGAAGTTCCAGCATATGGAACAAATGTGAAATATACCACCTAACAAAATTTTCTTCAAAAAGTCTGAAAAATCGTGTACTAGGGTTTTCGCGCATGCTGATTCCATCTAACAACTTTTTACGAGTGTTTTCAGCTTTTTTAAATGGTGTAATTACATTTCCGACAAATGCGGGAATTGAATTATTACGATTTATCGGGAACAACATTGGAAGGAAGCGTCACAGTAAAGTGCGAATTTCAAATTCGAAGTCAGGGGCTTCCATAATCGAAAAAATCTTGAATGTGGTAAAAGTGACAGACCCTGAGTATCTACCCAACCATTAAGTTATCTGGCCAGCCATTAGGTTGTCCTAAATGTAGACCGTTTTTCTAAATAAATCAAACTGTTTGTTTTCTAGCAAGCCTAGGCATCATCCTAAAGAGCAAGCAAGTTCTACAGATCATCAAAGATCTGTAGAACTTTAGTAGTAATACATGTAAAGTAGTAATACATGTAAAGTTCGTAGCCAAAATCAAAGAAAAAAATTGCAACCTGAAAATTGGATTTTTGCGAAAAAAAATTTGCAACCTAAAAACTGGATTTTTGCGAAAAAGAATCCTACGAGGCTCCAATTTAGCCGTCATGAAAAAGACTCATAGTAGTATTCACAAACGCATTTGCTGAATTTTTTTTTCGCGCATAGAAATCTTAGAAAGAAGAAAATCAATGGCAAATTCTGCCCCCAACCCGTCCATATATGTGACTAGCTGGCTTGCCCGGCTCCGCCGGGCCTGCCAGCTAGACCCGTGTACGTATGTTCCGGATAGAAATGTTTATTTCTGAACCGATTGGGACCGAACTTTGCACACATACTCTTCGGGGCAGGGAGCCTGTCACAGTCCACTTTTCGTTATCGATCGATGTCGATTTTACCGATTTTTTGCAAAATTTGAGCTAGGGGGCTAGGATTTTGCACAGGGGGGTAATCGAGCATGCTGATCACCCCCTTCGGGGTGATCAGCATGCTCGATTACCCCCCTCTGCCAAATCCCAGCCCTCTAGCTCGAATTTTGCAAAAAATCGATAAAATCGATATTGATCGATAACGAAAAGTAGCCTATGACACGCTCCCTGCCCCGAAGTATATGTGTGCCAAGTTTGGTCCAAATCGGTTCAGAAATAAAAATTTCTATTCGGCACATACGTACAGACATACAGACATACAGACAGACAGACAGACAGACATTCAGCTTTATATATAAGATTATCTACTGCGAGCCTCAATAATTTTGCTCTTAAAATCGTATCTCCGTAAGCGCTATTGTAATCAAGAACTAAGTTTGCGTTAAGAATCCGAAAAAGAGGCATATTTGCATTTTAGGACTATTTTTGTTCCTGAACTTTGAGTCGCGGAAATTTTAATGTATTTATGAATACTAATACATGTATACTATTTGATGACCAAGTTGGAGGTCCGTAGGAACTTCCTGGAAGAAGATATGATTTTTAGGGCAAGTGAAAAGTTTTAGGTTTTGGCTCCAAACTTTACATAGATTACGACTTTGGCGGACCTTTGGTGGTAAGAATTAGAGCTTGCTTTACCCTCTCGGATGGTACACCGAGTTTGCTAGGAAAGAACAATTTCATATTTATAGAAAATCGGTTTACTTTCGGGACAATAAAATAAATTCTGACTTGCATATGTTCCACCAAAAGAAATTTGCCCATACTTGAGAAACATTTTGAGTGTACATAAAATTAGTGGGGAAAGCTATGGTATCTTTTAAAGGTTGCATAAAACACTAGCAAGACATATTTAGTCATATATGTCTTACAGTGTTTTGTGAATGAGGAAGAGGGAAAGAAAGGAAGAAAAAGAAACTTCATTGATTTACTACCAGATAAAACAGAGAGCTTGATAATTGACCAACTTTTGCATGGGTTATTTGTACTTCGTCTACTAACAAAAGAGGTCCGTTTAGTCGAATTGGCTTTCCAAACGAGTCTTACACCACTTTGAAGAGCATACAACGATGATATTCCAGATCTGGTTTCATTAGCTGCCGAGCGCCTCTGCATGCCGAGTTATGTATATTTTCTTGGTGCGGAAAATGAACGCATAATCTTGGTAAAATCGAATTTATGGCTTTTCAGCGCTCAAATGGAGCAATGTTAAGTATGAGTGTCTGGGACAAAAGTTATCGTTTAAATGGAGTGCTGGTAATTAACACTGGACCATTTGAGCCATCCTGACGAATTTTGTTCTAATTATGCTTTCAATTTTTCAAAAACGTCATAAGACGCAGAGACGCTCGGCAGAACGAAGACGGATTTGAAATCAGCGTCTGATCTCCTTTATAGTCGAATCAAATTCATGTGAAAAGGCCACATCGAGCAAACGGAGCTCCCTTGTAAGCAGAAGAACTGTGATTTGAACTTTGATTATTAATCGTCTAATCTAGATTTTTATTCGAAGAATGGCGATGTTTAAAAAAGGGACATGGAAAGCTTGTCTTGTAAAGTTCGTATTCGATAGTTTAATGCATTAATCTGTTAACAATAATATGCTAGCAGTTTTATTTCCTTTTTTTCTATTGAAAAGAAACAACTGATATGACGAGATTCGTTTTGTTTCAGTTTTAGATTACACTAAAAGCGCATTAGCTGATTTGTCATCTGATTTGTTAATTTGCCTCTATACATTTTTCGCTATTTGGTCGTAGGAATGTAAAAAGAGAGATGATGAGATAATTTAAGCCGTCGCACACAGCACTCGAAAGTCAAACAATTTCATTCTATGAGTAGAATTGATCATATCAAAGCATGCATTGAGTGGTGAGCTTGACATGGATGCACGAGTGAATGTGGCTCCAGAATTAGACTCATTGGATAGATTTACTAAATAAAGAGTTATCAGTTCATTCGAAAGTAATTTCGCTTTTGATTTTTTTTCAAGGAGTGACTTCCCGCCGACTAAAGGTCCACGAAAGCTTTAAGGCGCGTTTGATGCACCCTTTCATCCCTTTCAAGAAGTGGTTTCAACCTCTTTTACACAAAGCTCTCAG